TTCATACAAGTTGGTGGCTTGCATAGTTGGTTTTGAATAGTAGCAGGAACAAACCAACTGTCATGATCAACAATTGGATGCATAATACCAGACCATGTAGCAAGCCAAGCATCTCTAGTATAAAAAGAAGAAATGTAAGTATAACATGACAGATGTGGGCGTATAGCAATTGTAGCAACAGCATGAACACAAACAAAGTGATCTAGTTGAAAGTGGCCACAAGTACAACTTCTAGAGTTGAGATTGACCACAAAGGACGTGCATCTGCTATCAACAACTTCAAATTCATATGCACATGATGGTTTCACCTAGGAAATGGCCAAAATATGAATATCAAATTAGAATAAAAATGAAGTACCTAAACAATATACTAACACAAGAACAAAACTGACAGATATGCAGAATCAAAATGACATAGTGATAAACAAAGTGGCATTATATAACCAGATAAAAAACTGAGAACTGACTTATGGTTAAAAATCAGCTTTGACATACCTTCATACGTGTAGCTTCAGCTTGCAAAGCTACAAGACGTTTCTCACATTTCCGTGTGAGTATAGTACTTGTTTTCTCAGCTTTATCTTTCCTCTCTGTGAACCATTGTTGCATCCTTTCACGCAAAAAATCAACAAGTTTAGAGACTGAATACTCTCTTGCACATACATTGACTTTGTTCATAGACTCAACACAATTGGAGGTCATAATATTATATCTCTTTGGTCCAGAAATTACTTTTGACCATGTGTTAGCACCTATTTTGTCTAGCCAAGTCCTTATCCTGGAGTTTTCAGAATCCAACATGGATAAGTAGTCATCATATTCTTTAACAGTTGCTGCCATATAGGCAGCTTTGAACTTCCATCCCAAAGTAGCTGCAGATCCTCTAAATTTGTGTGTCATGTTACGACGCAGATGAGCAACACAAAAACCATGGCTAGCATGTGGCAAGATTTCAGAAACAGCCTTTATAAGACCTTTATGCATATCAGATACTACATAAAGGTCATGTCTGTACTGTATTGACTGACAGACTTTGGATAAAAACCATTTCCAAGAAGATTTTGTTTCAGACTCACAAATACCAAATGCAATAGGAACTATGTGATCATTGGCATCTTGACAACAAGCTGTAAGAAGAGTGCCTTTATAGTAAGCCTTCAGGAATGAACCATCCAGTATAAGAACAGGTCTACAGTGAGGCCAAGCTTCTATCCATGCTCTGAATGACATAAAAAAGGTACAAAATGCATCATCCTTCCCTGTGAATAGATCAAACATAGAGCCAAGATTCGCCATCTCAAGCACATAAGCCATAGAAGGCAAAACCTGATAGGATTCAAGATCAGAACCAAATTGCAACTGCATTGCTTTCTTCTGTGCTTTCCAAGATTTTTTGCATGACATGGAAATTCCATATTGCATACTCATGTCTTCACGAATTTGTTTTGGTGGGTACGGTTTATTGGAAGCATCAAGGTATTTGTGTGCAATAAGTTTTGCTATCACAGTAGCAGTTGCCTGTCTATGTTTGCCTTGTCTATAATCAATAGAGCATGTGTGTTCTGGACAGAATATAAAATGACAAAACAATGGCATTTTTATACAAGTGAGTAATATACAATTGGCATTCTTGGACAAGAATGTCACCAATACATGGCATTCTGATAAACAAGAATTAACAACGAAGTCAAACAAAAAGAATGAAATAAGAAGTTACCTTCTAATTTGAAACATTTGTACGCCAGGTAGTCTTACAGCTCGAACAGTCCAACGACATTTTGGATCTAAGCAAATAACATGTAAAGATATTTTCCTAGAGGTCTTTGTTCTGTATTGAAAGTGGTTTGTGATAGCATACATCTTCAGATGGTGGATAAGGTCTGTTTTACTTTTGTAAATAGCATATAGAACAAGACAAGTAGGATGGGACTGTGTGATGACTTCAAAATTGTGGAGAAATGACAGTGACTGAGATGATTCTATTACTAAGCCATCTGACATGTCATCCATGCCTTCATCACTGTCTTCAGATGTTTCAATTTCTACAGCTCTAGACACAGTGTTACTACAAGAAGCAACATCTTGAGAGTGTCTACCAGAGATGTTAACATTTTCAGTGCAAAAAGATGAGCTATGATCAAAAGAGAGTGCAGGTGAGGAGGCATGTTGTTGGGAAGAAACAACAACATTCTCATCAACAAAAAGTGAATGAGTTGAAGAAATGACAACATTTTTAGCTGAAGGAAAAGCAGAAGGTTCAACACCAACAAAAGATGGATATGAAGAAGAGATAGGATAAAACTCAACACAAAGTGGATACTTTAGAAAATCTGGTTGAAGAGACTTGATATAAAGATAAAATGTTAAGGTAGATTGATCATTTATAGTTACAGGAGGAGGGAATCCATCTCTCATATAAGAAAGCCTGAAATTATGATTAGGTTTGTACTGAGAAAGGATGGCAGTCAACATATCAACAAAACAAGCATATTGAACACCATAGTTAACATGAAGCCCACATGTGTGCACATTGGTGAACACATAGTCAGAATCCCAAAAACCATCGACCTTGACCATAACAAGTAAAACAGGATCCATTGTGCAAAAAGGTTCCTAAAAATTGAAGGAAAAACAAATATTTCAGTATAACAGAAGCATGAAAGAAGAAAGTTGGTTATACTAAAACGACAGTTTGCGTGAATATGTGACAGTCTATGAGGATGTATAAATAATATTTACCACACAAAATGGCAAATCAGCAAACAATACAAAATGACAGTTAGAAATACAAAAGAGCCAGTTATGAAGAACCTAATCTAGTACTTACAACAAGACACAATTTAAACACCAAGATTAAACGCAGAAATAGCAACATACGAAGAAATTTCATGAAATAAAAGCTTTGATAGAGTTGATGAAAAGCAAACGAGCTAAATTATTAACAATAATGAATTTGAAATCGATTATAAAAATTTTGAATTTTTTGTTAATATTGTAGAAGCAAAATACAGAGGAATAAAACATATTGATGATTGCAGAACGACATGTGTACAACGGACGAATTGACATATTCTAGAAGCAAAATGAGAGCAATTGCAACATAAATTTAACCATGATTGGTGAAGAAGGACTATACAGGAAAGTTTCGGTGAACATACTCTGCAAACGAACGAACAATGGCGGAAGAAGATGAATGCAGAGGAGAAGGACGAACAGCTCAAACAAATCGCGAAGAAGATGATTGACGAAGAAGAAGAATAACGCGAAAAAAAAACAGAGTACCTCAACTGACTTCCCAACTGATTTAGGAAACTGATTTTCTGGAAAGAATCTCGATCAAAGAGGGAAACTAACGGAAACTCATAAATGGTTTCACACATGGATTACCGAAAATAGCCGGTAACACCTGCGGCGTAATAGCAAACATAGGCAGGGGTATTTTGGATATTGCTTAAAGCGTTAAACATACCTGTAGAACCGTATAACTCCTATTAGAGGGAATAAAACATAGTAAGTCCTATTACGGCTTTTTAAGTAAGTTTTAGTCCTATTATGGACAATTTTTTCTTTTTTAAATCGTTCGCTTCTTCACCTGACCAGTCTGCTGCTTACATGCTTTGCCGCTGCATTCCGGATGGTTTCCACCGCCAGTATCCTCCTTCAGCCTGCTCTTTTCAGTACAACATTGTGGGCATCCCCTTCTCTGGACCTCTGCAACTTAATTCAGCGGCCGCCAGCCTGTGTGTATATCCGGCAGGAGCTCAGCAATCAATTCCGGCGTGGGTCTCTTCCCTCCCATTAGTTCCGGCCTCCAGGCAAAGGATAATCCGTCTACCCACTTACTACGCCGACCAGATCTTCCGTCTCACAGATGGCCATCATCGTTGCTGCCAGATCACAATGGACTGCAGAGAACCCATCCATCCATGTGCGAACGCAAAGAAAGAGAGAGCAAGGCTACATGCAACCCATGGTTGAATAAAGCAATTTTAAGCTATTCACTCCTAAAATCACTACAATCCATGATAATCCCCGTCCTAAAATGATAGTCTTGTATTTCATTTTTGGGATGTCTCAAAATGATGGTCTGATTTCCCTTTTTGGAAAGAAAGTTGTGATCCATATCATTTCACTTTATTATACTCAAATGTCAACTACAACTTTTACTCTTTCAATTACTTTATTAAAATTTGTGTCCAAAAGAAATGAGACTATCAAATTGGACCGGAGGGAGTAGTATTTTGGAGTGCCAAAATGAGTATATAGCACCGGGTGGAGTGGGACTTTGGCAGGCACATTCACCCAGACTTTTGCTCTCGATATTGTAGGAACAAGGAAGAAATCGCATTTTTTTTGAGGTAAGGGTCAGATTGGTACAATATGATTTTTTTTAAGGTAAGGGGACTAAAACTCATCCATTTTTCAAAAATGAGCCCAAATAACTTAAACTTCCATAAATATGATTTTTCATTTGTAATTGAATAAAAAAATATCCTTATAGAGTTGAAACTGCTGTCCCAAATTGTTCATGTCGCCGATCACCAATAGATGATCTCATCATATTTTAATCTTAGTTTGAGTAATTTTGTTGGGTTGTGCGTGTACACATTTTAGTGTACATCTTTCGTTCACTCATGTGTCTCATATATACACAATTATCTATCCACAGACAACTCTACACCTGTGTACAGAAAATTTTATATGTGTGAGACAGACAAATGTACGAAAAATACATCAAAATGTGGACACCAAACGTTTTCCAATTTTGTTTGCTCAATAATTGTTTTTTTAGAATTTTAGAGGGTGTGTGCATATAATATTTCTTCACTCGATCCACTCATATGTCTCATATATACAGAAAGAATTATCTATACACGGATAATCCTACACCTGTGTACAGACAATTCTATGTGTACGAACGAGTACATCGTGGACATCAAGCATTTTCCAATTTTGTTTGCTCAATAATTGCTTTTTAAAATTTTAGAGTGTGTGCATATAATACCTCTTCACTCGATCCCAACCTCTTCACCTGCCCATTTGTCTAATTCTTCTTCTCAGACTTCTCTCTACATCTTCTTCTTTTACAATTTTATACACATCTAAGAAATAGGAATCAAAGCATCAGAAACATTTGGCATCGTCCTCTTCCATCTGCACCTTTCTTCACACTTTTAATTTCAAATCGCAATCCCCCATCACAAATTGTAGAAGCGCCCTTTAGCCATCTTGTACTGCACTTTTCCTTTCCTAACATCTACAGCGTCAGCCATCTACATCTTGAAGGCAACGTGATATCCTAGCCCGAGGGGTGACGATCTCAGTTTTAAGGTAAGAAAAAAGGTCCAATCGGGTCTAAATTAATCCAGGTTGATCCGATTGTGACCGTTTAGATCGGATTTTGTCTTCCCGTTTCTACCCGGTTTTGCTATTTTCCGGCCCCATGCATGTGCCGACCGATAACTTTCCCGGTTCTGCAGTTGACCGGTTCAGTTTCTCAAGTATAGAGCAATTTTTCTTTACTTGATTGGCGCTTGCAATTTTCACTCATTATATTACAACGACTTGGAACCTGAATTCAGGATATTAGGGCTGAACAGAACCCGAACCTACTAGCAAAACCCAATTTTTTTTTGCGGATAATACCCGTGTGGATATGGATATCCGACCCAAAAACCCGAAACCGAAATATCCAATTAGTATTGGGCCTAGACCGGGTGACGGGTAGGGTTTGTAAAATCCCAACCCGCCCTGCCCGAAATATCCGAAATATATTAAATTATGTAGTGTGTACTTTGAATATGTTAAATTAATACTTGTGTTCAATTAATTGTGTAATTATTTGTGCAATTTGTGTTAAATTATTTGTGTAAATTGAATATGTAGTGCAATAGTGTGTACAATTTTTGTCAAGTGGCATTCCAACACTTTAATTATCCAATTATTATGTGTTTTAATATAACCGAAATATCCGAAATATATTAAATTATGTAGTGTGTACCTTGAATATGTTATATTAATACTTTTGTTCAATTATTTGTGTAATTATTTGTGCAATTTGTGTTAAATTATTTGTGTAATTTGAATGTGTAGTGCATTAGTGTGTACAATTTTTGTCAAAGTGGCATTCGAACAATTTAATTATCCAATTATAATGTGTTTTAATATAACCAAAATATCTGAAACCCGATCCGATATCCCATAATATCCGATTTAAAAATATTCGAAATACCCGATTTGAAATATCAAAGGGTCGGGCCTAGTATTTAAATTAAAAAAGCCGAACGGGTTTAGGGTACGCAGACCCGACCCGCCCGAACCCGACTCGTGCACAGCCCAATTTAGGACCAGCCTTAGATAAGTTCATGATAGTCGATTGAGTTAAAATACAATCTATCACTCTCAAAGATGTGAGGTCAAGCCTCAAGTTTTAACGAACCATTTTTCCCGAACTATTCGATTTCAAACCTAACGGTCCTAGTTTAACGATTCAATTTAGGACCAGCCTTAGATAAGTTCATGATAGTCGATTGAGTTAAAATACAATCTATCACTCCTTCTCAAAGATGTGAGGTCAAGCCTCAAGTTTTAACGAACCATTTTTCCCGAACTATTCGATTTCAAACCTAACGGTCCTAGTTTAACGAGTTTCGAACTTGCACACGAGCTAAATTTTAAGTTTGAATAATTAATGTAGTCGAGCTCGAGTATAGTATTCAGGGGCGGAGCCAAAAAACGGATCAGGGGGTCGAAACTCAACTTATTTACAGAACGAAAATGGTGTATCATTTTTAAACAACATTCGAGTTGAATATTTCATATGCAGTTTAGATAAATAGGCACTCGTAACAACAAAATAGATTGTCTTTGTTCTGTTTCTGAGTCGTGTCACGTAACTATTGAATGAATGATACCCTATTTTTAAAATTTGGGAAAGTAATCTATAGTATGCATCAAATTTTGGTGATTTTATTTTTAGATAGTGCTTATTTTGCAGAAGTCATAACTCTTTACTCGTAATAAGTTACGAGGGCCATAATATATCAAATCGAAAATATTTCAGAGTTCTATACTCTCAAACTTTCAACGGGGTCGGCTGACCACCCTGACCCCCTTTGGCACCGCCCCTGGTAGTAGTATTCGGTTCGGTTAGAACTCAAGCCTATTGAACATCTTGAAATTATAGATATAATTTATACTTTGTATATATGCCAAAGTTGAAGAGTCCGCTTGGGCAACATGTTTTTCGACTTATCAGACTTATAAGCCAATTTTTTCACCAAACAAGTAACTTTTGATTTCGCGCACTGAATTGTGTAATTATAAAAAAAGTAAGGTTGAAGTTACTTTTTGGAAAAAGGGGCAAATAAGCCCACGTACTAATCGAAAAAGGTCAAATAAGCCCTTATATAGGAGGCTATGTCCGGCCGTCGTCATTTGAGGCGGTTCCTAGTGGAAATTTTTGATGCAAATTTTTGAGCATATTATTCATTAAGTCTAGCTTACTCATACCAAATTTCAGCTAAAACTTCAATCAGGAAGGCATTCAAATGAATTCTTGAAGATAATTGCGTAGTTAAAAGCGCAGTTATCTTCAAGAGTTTATTTGAATGTCTTCCCAATTGATTTGTTAGCTGAAATTTGGTATGAGTAAACTAGACTTAATGAATAAGATTCTAAAAATATTTCATCAAAAAATTCCACCCGAAACTGCCCCAAATGACGACGGCCGAACAGAGTCTCCTATATAAGGGTTTATTTGACCTTTTCTGTTAGTACGTGGGCTTATTTGCCCCTTTTTCCTTACTTTTTTGTCTGTTTTGACTGAAGTTACGGGGTAAAAGATCATTTTAGTTTGATATAATTATTTATATTTTATTAATAAAATTTAATTTAAACTGATATGATTTATAAATTTAAATATGAATATTAGCGAGTCTTGTACTTGTCGAATAATTTGAGCACGAGCTTATTTATGAGCATCACTTAAAATTTGAAATGCTATCATATTTATCGGGTTTACCGAGCGCTTTGTTTGAACATCCAACGCCTATCGATCCGAACACTAGTCTCATTTGTAAAACTCACCCAACTTTGAGCTCGAACCCGTACACCACTTTTACGGAATCAAGATGATCTAGAGCTCTGGGCGTTCGAGCTAGGCTTGGCTCGGCTGGTTAACAACCCTAGGCGGGAATAAACTAAGTTTAACTGCTTTTTAATTTTTTATTGATAATTATTACTCTTTTTCTATTGAAATATTTGTTATAGTTTCCTTTTCAAGATTATTTTAATTTTTGCTACAGTTTCTCTTTTCGATAAGTTTTTCCCTTAAAAATATTCAATCACCCTTTATTTTTCTACTTTTTATCTTCTCTTTCCCACTTTTTCGGTTTCTCCCCTACTTTATGTACACTATTCATTACTTCTACTACCTGTCCATTAAATTATCCAAATCCTATTGTAGCAAACATTTCAATACGGAGGGAGTACAAAGAGTACTTTTTACTGGTGTATGAAGTGAAAAGAATAAATGTCCAAAAAGTATTACACAAGATTGAACCTAACTTTTACTTCATTGAATACATATATACTCCGTAATTTGTAAACGTATAAAAAGTGCAACTAATAAATGACATATTATTGCATTATTACTCTGTATTAGATCTCATATATAACATGTTTTTTATTTTTTGTAAATTAATCCAACTTCTTTGTATATAACAATTTATCTAGAAAACTGTCTTTTCACAGTGGTATTTTCTATGCCTTTCTTCTTTGTATAGAACAATTTATCTAAAAAATTACAGTCTTTTCACAGTGGTATTTTCTATGCCTTTCTACTATGTGGGGGTTTTGTGTCACCTCCTGCCCAGGCACCGCTGTACTCCGAGTTAGAAAAGCTCCATTTTTTCTCCTATTCAAAATACCTAATGTCCTTTCCTTCAAATGTTCAACAGTGCAAAGGAGTGATAAAGATAAGGCGCAGAGAGCAGCGATTTTGTCCTTTTCATTTGGCAAGGCGAAGACAGCAGGTCAGCAGCGTCTTTTTTCTTTGCTTTTCCATCCAAAAGGTACATTTCCCAACTCCCAACCCTTTTTTTATTGGAAAGACATTATATGACATTATATGTATTTCTGCTCATGCATTATTCAAAGGAAGGTGTGTAAGTTTTATTAAATGTTTGGAAACTAAGAATCAAATGTACAATTTATTAAAAATCTCAAATTTAACATTAAATGTTTCTATAAGGACATTCTGTTTTTAGATATATTGAAATTAAAATTTATTAATTTCATTTTCTAAGGATATACTCCGTAATATCTTTCAAGATGCTTGATGCAATATTGTTTTTTGTATTCTATACTTGTTTTTTGTAAAAATGACCAAAATTAAGATGCTAGACAAAATGTAACATATTTTATACAAATTTGCTATATTAGTAGCTTTTAATGACCACAACAGTGGTCAATTCTACACTGTAGTGACCATGCATTCATACTCACAATATAAATTATAGGAAAATCTTTTTTTTTAATTGGGGATATTAGTTAATCCATATTGATACCATATACGGAGTACTTCATCAAGATTTGAGAAAGTGTATCTTTAGAGTTAGTTTAGCAATCCCATATTTCGGCTTATCAGCCAACTCTTTTATCCAATACTAAATCTTTCATTCCATTCGATGAGTTGTGCAATAATAGAAATAAATAACAATTGTTTTTAGTTATGTTTTGACTAATATTTTATTTATTTAATACGGATTAATAATTTTTTTTCACAATTCAGTTGATGTAGTCATCTATAACTTTGATAGATTAAATTTTCTCCCAGAAAGAGAAGGTTTCTCCTTTTGTAGGTACACTTTTCAATAACAACTATATTAAGGTAAGGGTATTCATAACATAATATTTCTCTTATATCTCTTGTTAGTTTTCCTCCATTTTATAACAAGGTGACTATAAAAAGTTCACTCATTGTTACTTTAGTCACACTTTGTCCACAAGTTTTATTTTGAGACTACGTAATATTTAGGAAAAATCTTTTTTATAAGGAATTCATTAAACCATAAAGTCTGTAATGCCCCACCAAGTCTAACGTAATACAAATTTTGGTATACCTTCCTAGTGGCATATTCGAACATAGGCATCACAGTAAGGTTGAGACATTCCCAGGCAACAACTTCCCCTGTGATGATTGCAATTTGGTAATTGCTTGATTAAATCCTGTTCAACATTATTCATTCATTCTGTGTGTTTTAATTTTGATACTCTATGAATCTTTATATAGATTTGTACCACTAAGCAACCGATTTATGTCATTTAGTCAATCTTATGGTTATCCTCATATAGATTGGAATCGAAACGTTCTGTAAGCAGTAGTTTTTTCATAAACTAATTTAGGTCCAATAGAATAGAATATTAAAAATTATAGGTATTACTATAGGAGCATCGAATTTTCTATCAGGTGCTCATTCTGGGCAAAGCGAAAGAATATTTTATGGAAGTATGGAACTCTTGTCGCATTCTTTAATCAGCAGTCTTGAATTCGTACTCCTGTTTTGACATGTCCAGCTCAATAATATGTGCATGCTGATTGTTTTTAGGGATGTTTATATAGATACTCTGTTATTTATTCATTAATTAGTTCTACTTAATGTCATTTTGTGAAACAGAAATATTAATGGGAGATAAAATGGAAACAAGTGATAATGGCTATGATATGCCAATGGAAGTGCTTATTGAGATCCTTATCCACCTCCCCGTGAACTCGTTAATACGGTTCACCATTGTGTGTAAATCTTGGCTTAACCTTATTAGAGACGACCCCCAATTTGCCTTGAGGCATTATCTCACAAGAACAAGACCGTCATCATCATATACACTGATGGACAATGTTGATTACATAGTTGACTACTTCGGTAAGTATGGAAGAAGTTGCAATGCTACAACAGATGAAATTTTGAGGCTGTGTATTTACACTTTAACGGTAAAGAAAACGTTTCGTCTTGTGAAGAAGATTGAGTATGGACCACGGTTGAATGTGTCTATGTCCAACTTCTGTAATGGTATAATGTGTGCTTATGTTACTTCAAATCGTGGGGCTAGAGTTTTGATATGTAACCCTGCGATCGGAGAGGTGCTTCTTTTGCCACTGCCCCACAACTTCGCAACCAGAGGGACTCCAAAACTTGGGCTTGGGTTTGACTCAGTAAATAACAACTATAAGATAGTGGCAGCTCACCCACCTTCAGTTTTTGCAGGTCGTGATTTTTGGCAGGTGGATGTGTACTCTGTCCGAGATGGTTGTTGGCATAATTTAAATGCTTTGGGCTCACTTGTGCAGTTTAGTAGCTTAACAAGTGAATCTACTTTGAATGCCAATGGAAGAATTCTTAACTGGTTGGGTTACCTTAAATATTCTACAAAGCCACTCGAGGGATTATTGTCATTTGACATCGTAGATGAGGTGTTTCAGGAGGTAACCATGCCGGAATGTTTATATCCAAACAGTTGGCGACAACATCATATTTTAACCTCAAGTGGATGTCAAGCTTGCCTTTGCTGTTCCTCTTTTCCTAGTTCAAGCCTTGCAAAAGATGAGCATTTTAACGGCATTGACATTTGGGTACTAAACAGAGATAATGATGATGACGAGAAAATGTTGTGGCACAAGCACTTTTCTTTTACATTTTCAGATGATGCTCCTGTGTGGCCAGTGAATGTTTGGTTGAATAACCATGAACTTCTTCTTCATGTGCGAAAACAGGAAGGGCGTACTGAAGAGGTGTACCATTATGACCATTTTACCCAACAGCTCACGCGTACGAGCCGATTTGGGACACTTATGAATCCTGATGGTTATACAGAAAGCCTAATCTCGATCAAAGGTCTTATGCCTTCATCATATCATCAACCTGCCGGAGATGAAGATGAGAAAGATTATTTTTGTTTTGTACGGGAAGTCGGGAGGAAAAACAATGCTGTTCATTGGTCATATAGCTTCAAGTTGGTATAAGCATTAAGAATGGATTACAAAACCATAAGGGTTAATGATTAATGTTCATATTGTAAACGATTTATTATATTAATGTGGTGATGGATTTATCATTGTCCCTATATCCCAAAATATATTTTACCCGTTTCTATTTTAACTGTCCCAAAAAGGTCTTCTCATGCATTCTTATTACCTGGAAACTACTTTGAAAAGGTGCGAATTATTTCACAATCTAACCATGATAACGGGTTAGCCATAAATTTTGTATATATTATAGTTCATGTGCATATATCTTTTCAAATTGCTTACCATCTAGTTGTTTTCACACCCGCCTATTGAACCACACCTCAATACCTCATTCTAATGGCCCCATTTTAAACAATTCTTCATTCTTGGGAATGATTGTGTTTCATAACTACCTCCTGGCTTGTTGATCTTTCCTTATTGTTGGATTATTTAATCCTAATTCTCTCATTTGTTATGTTGTTATAATTAAGATAGGATGGCAAAGTACTTAGGCCTGTTTTATTTCTTTTATCTTTGGGTTATCTCTTTAGTGGGCTGGTTGGTTGGTGCAATGGGCTTGATATGCTAATTGATTGCTGTTGGGCCTATTTTTGGGTCCGGCCTCTTGGTTATATTTGGCTGCCCGGATGAAAGGTTATTTATATAACCTTCGTCTTCTGCATCTGTACTGTTCCGCTGCATACACTAAAACCCTAGAGAGAGAATCCAGAGAGAGAGAGAGAGAGTCTGATCCTTGGATCTGTTATCCCATGCGATAGAACTCCATCAACTCATGTCGATTGCAAGGAAGGAGGAAACCTGTTCAACGAAGTAGCCTGCTGATACTATCGGAAGCCGTCTTCTGCTCTTCGATTCCTGGCTGGAATCGTTTTTGGTTAACTCTGAACTTTCTTTAGTAGTTTATCGTTATGAGTTGTATGTTTGTATATTGCATGTTGATTCTGGTCTGTGTCTAGTACTTTGCAACCATCTTGATTGTAAACCTTATTCTGAGCTAGTGGATCTGCCTGGGACCGGGTTTCCCCTCTTGAAACCTCGCAGATTAGGAAGTTCTCTTCCGAACTGCGTCATCATATCGTGTGTCTTTACTTTCTGTTCTTGCATTGTTTGATTGTTTGAAACGTTGAGATCCGATTTGCATGACTGTGACTAGGTTAAGTCTGTGAACAAATTTGGTATCAGAGCCTTGTGTGATTTCTTGAAATCTGAAATTTTAACCTCTGGTTTTGATTCTTGATTTCCTGAAACCCTAGTTCTTGATCACTCCTTTGTTGTTCGTTTTTCTGGGAACCCTAGCTCAGAATATTCTCTCTTGTGATTGCTGTTGTGTGTGTTGACTCTATCTTTTTTCTGCTCTTGATTTATATCTGTTTCTTGATACCGCATTGGGAAAAAATGTCTGACACTAGTACCAAGATTCGCATCTTTGATGGTACTAGTAATTTCCCTATGTGGCAGCTCAAGATGAAGGCTTTGTTAATGAAACAAAAATGCTTTAAAGTTGTTTCTGATGTTGAAATAACTGGAATTTATGAGTCTGACCTTGTTGAAATGAAAAATGCTGCCTACTCTGAATTGATAATTCACTTATCTGATAATGTTGCAAGAAAATTCTCAACTATAACTGATCCTAAAGTTCTTTGGAATACTCTGGAATCAACCTACATGAAAAAATCTATGTCTAGAAAAATCTCTCTGTTATGTAGGTTGTTCACTTTTAAGATGAATGTTTCTGTCTCTTTCTGATAATTTGGATAATTTTCTGAAATTAACACAAGAAATTGAGAAAGTGGATGAAAAGATAAAAGATACTCATCAAGCTGTCATTCTTCTTAACTCTTTGCCTTCTCAATTTGATAACTTCAAGGATGTCATTCAATATTCTAATGAAGATCTTACCCCTGGTAAGATCATTGATTCTGTTTTAGAAAAGAATGAAACCCTAAAAGTTTTCAAGTCTAAGAATGATCCCTTGAATAATGAAAAGGCTGAAATCAAATCTGAAGCCTTAGTTGTTAAGGGCAAATCAAAGGGTAAGAAAAATGACTCTAAAAAGAAGAAACAAAATGATAAGGAAAATTCTGATAAGAAAGGTTTTAAGTGTCACTACTGTGGGATTGAGGGACACTTTGCTAGAGACTGTAGGAAAAAGAAAAGAGATAAACAGGGTGATTCAAAAACCACTGTTAATCCCAATTCTAATACTGAGTCTGCCAACGTAATACAACATGAATTGCTTATCTGTTCTGATTCTTCTTTGAAAAATGAGTGGATCCTTGATTCTGGTTGTACCTTGCATGTCACCCCCAACAAAGCTATCTTTTCCTCATTACACTTGTACAATGGGGGAAAGGTGATGTTGGGGGACAATACTGCTTTGGATATTATGGGCATAGGTAATGTGCCTTTAAGGATGTTTGATGGAGTTGTTAGGGTCATTCAAAATGTGAGATGGGTCCCTTATTTGAGAAGAAACTTGCTGTCTGAATCTATATTTGACGAGTTAGGTTGTAGCATTGTTACTCAGGTTGGCATTAAGATGGTTTCCAGAAATGGAAATCACCTTATCAAAGCTGTTAAGCAAGGAGGTCTTTACATTGTTGAAGGTTCCTCTGAGCTGAATATAGCTGCCCCTGATACTAACATTGCTATTCAAAAACAAACTGAGGTCTGGCACAAAAGGTTAGGTCACATTGGAAATGTAGGACTTAACAAATTGTTTAAGAATGGAATGATTGACTTTAAACCAAGCCAAATTGATTTTTGTGAAAACTGTATTTTTGGTAAGAAAACCAGACACACTTTTGGCAAATCTACCTATACTGCTTCACAACCCCTGGAATTGGTCCATGCTGACCTATGGGGGCCCTCTAAAACTGGAACTCTAGGAGGAAGAAAATATTCTCTCTTATTGATCATTTTTCTAGGAAAGTGTGGGTTTACTTATTGAAAACCAAAGATGAAACTTTTGACAGTTTTAAAATCTGGAAAAAGCTTGTTGTGTCTCAATCCAAGTTTAAACTGAAGTGTTTGAAAACTGATAATGGTCTTGAATTTTGTAACCATGTTTTCAATGATTTTTCAAAATCTGAAGGGGTTAAAAGGCTTTTAACTGTCCTTGGCACCCCACAGCAGAATGGTACTGCTGAGAGAATGAATAGAACTATTCTTGAAAAGGCTAGATGCATGTTAATTGAATCTGGTCTTAAAAATTCTATGTGGGGTGAAGCTATTGTAACAGCTACTTACTTGATCAACAGATCACCTTCCTCTGTGGTGGGTTTCAAAACCCCCCAAGAGATGTGGTCTGGTGTGAAACCAAACATAACTCACTTAAGGCCTTTTGGGTGCACAGCATACGCTCATGTCTCTCAAGGTAAATTAGAACCTAGGGCTATCAAGTGTGTTATGATTGGTTATCCAGAAGGTGTGAAAGGTTATAAACTCCTTGTCATTCAACCCGGAGTTTATAAATGCATTATCTCTAGAGATGTTACATTTAATGAATTTGAATTTCATTTTAAAATTGTTAATGCATCTTCTAGTGTTAAAACAGATGATTATGATGGTAACTTCTTTGATTCTCTGAGCAATGGGAATCTGTCAGAAGTAGACATTGATGTTGGAGAACTTCATGGAGGTATTGATGATCAATCTTTATCAGATTCTGATCAAGATGATTCATCTGAAGGTATTGCATAGTTTAATACTGACTCTATTCAAGAAGGTAGTACCTCACCCTCACTTGATAATTTGAGTAATTTGCATGATGTACCTGTCTTATCTGATGAAAATGATAATGTTGGTGAAACTGCTCTAAATAATAGTACCTCTAATGAACATGAAGAACCAAACTTGTTTGATTACCAGCTTGTTAGAGATAGAGAACCTAGAAATATAATTCCCAATAGGAAATACATCTCTAATCTAGCTGAGTTTATCTTTATAGCCTCTGAAATTGTTAAAAATAATGTGCCTGAAACTTTTGAACAAGCTATAAAGAGTTCCAAATCAAATGAATGGGTTAAAGCAATGCAAGAGGAATTACAATCTATGTTTGTTAATCAAACTTGGACTTTGGTCCCTAAACCCATAGGTGCTAAAGTCATTGATTGTAGATGGATTTATAGGATAAAAGATAGTCTTGATCCCACTGATCCCCCTAAGTATAAAGCCAGACTAGTTGCTAATGGTTTTAAACAAAATAAAGGGATTGATTACCAAGATATTTTTGCTCCTGTTGTCAAATTTAAAACCTTGAGACTTTTGCTTGCTATGACTGCTGTATTTGACTGGGAATTAGAACAAATGGATGTTAAGACTGCTTTCTTACATGGAGATATAAATGAAACTATTTTCATGTCTCAACCTCCTGGATATGAGAGTAAAAAGTATCCTGATCATGTTTGCTTGTTAAGAAAATCTATCTATGGCTTAAAACAGTCTCCTAGACAATGGAACTTGAAATTTGATGCTTGTATGAATAAACTTGGTTTTCTTAAAAGTAAATATGATACTTGCTTATATTTTAAGCATGTTGGTACTGATAATGCTGTTTACATTCTGCTATATGTTGATGATATCCTTATAATTGGTCTGTGCAAAATGATGGTTGTTAGTGTGAAAGATGATCTAAAAACTCATTTTGACATGAAAGATATAGGACCTGCTAAAAGAATCTTAGGAATTGACATTAGCAGAAATAGACCTGAAAAGTGCATGTTCTTATCTCAAAGCAGTTATTTGAATAAAATTTTGGATAGGTTTAACATGCTTGGTTCTAAATGCACTTCTATACCCTTAGGAGGGCATTTGGATCTTCAGAGGGATTCTTATCCTATTTCTTTGGAGGAATCTAAGAAAATGGATAAAATCCCTTATGATGTAGCTTCTGGCTCTTTGATGTATGCTATGCTTTGTACCAGACCAGACCTTGCTTTTGCTGTGAGTGTCCTTAGTAGATTTATGTCTGACCCTAGGAAAAGACATTGGACTGCTATGAAGTATACTCTTAGGTATCTATCTGGAACCAAAAACCTAGGTCTTAAGTATAGTTTCAATTCTTCTTTAGACCTGAAAGGATTTGTTGATTCTGATTATGCTGGGTGTAAAGACACTAGAAAGTCTACAACTTCCTGGTTCTTTACCTGGGCTGGAAACTATATTTCTT